CCCCCTAGCCGAGCTCTAGCGCCTCAGCAGATGTGAAGAGGCAGCGGGTCCGAATAAACCCGCGCACGCCATAATACAGCGCTGGGGCCCAGGGACAGACTCGGGTCTTTTGCTTCCCGGGTCCGCGTTTATTGAGCATCTAGTGTATAGAGAGAGGCTGAGCTCGGTGGAGAGTAACACAGCAGGCTGGGAAAGAGGCACGGCCTGATCCGCAGGAGTTTTTGCCTCTCCGGGCCAAAATGAACCTTACTGCGAGATTCCCATCACCGCTGTGGAGGCTAGAGATGGTTACCATCCTAGGATGGCTTGATGCCCAAGGCCCAGGGACACTCGTTAGTGAAAGCCTCTAGCAAATGATTGTTTCCTTTAATTTTTTTTTCTCTATGATGGCCGGTCTAGCTTGGCTCTCGAATTTTTGTATTCCCAGAAAGAACCTAAATCGGTACAGTGAATTCTTCATAGGTGTTTGATAAGAGGTTTCTTCCTCTTTCCATCTTAAAGTAACAAACTACAAGAAGAAACACACCCATGGCCATGTCTTCTCAAATAAAAAGGCAGAAACCAATAAAAAGGCTGACCCAACACTGGGGAAACCAGTAGAGAGTTGCCAAAGATCGGTCATGTTCTGGGTGGTCTCTGAGAGTTTGAAGACATTCATTCTTAGTGCACAAAATAGTTTTATAACCAGTTCCACCGGGCAGCTTCAAGGGCCTTCCTAGAGAGAGGAGCCAACAGACAAGGCTGCCCAAGGAAAAGACAGGCAAGTGGCCAGTGGAAAACATGTTTTTCCCCCCAAACAGTTGGGCATTTCTGCGACTCTGAAAGTAAACTTGTTTGCTTCAACAATGGGGAGAAAAATCCTGTTTTGAAAATGTCACCCAATAAAAATACATTTGCAATGAGGGAACAAAAGGCAATTAAGGCCCACCCAGAAAAAAATATTTTTCTCCTTCATTTTTTAAGTTTGGTGTTTCCCAGTGTGGATTTGCCTCATTCTACAGATGGCTGTCAAAAGTTATATGCAATACAATTGAAATATTTAAATTTGAGTCATAGCGTATCTATCCTAGGAAACACAAAAAGTTGTTTTATACAGCAAATAAATAATCTCCCCTCCATCTCCTTTTCTATTTATGTTGGGTGGGGTTAGTATTAAAGGGTGATTCTGATTTGGCTTCAAATCAAGTATCACTATAATGTCCTTCCAGATCCAGAACAGAGATCTCAGGTGCCCAATATTCGGCAGAGCTTACTTCCTCCAGAGGTTGCCTGGGCAGTTGTGCAGATCCATCGTGAACCAGTTATAGAGGTAAGTTTCAGTCTTACTAAGGTTCTGCCATTTCTACAAGAAGGACAGAAGGTAAATACGAAGCCATTTCACTGTGTGCTGGGGGCTGGGGGAACATGGCATTGCTCTGTTGAACCTATTTAGTGTCCTTTCAAATCCAGTGACTTTCAAGTGAAGACTGCATTCCCTTGGGGACCTTCTGGTTGTGTATGAAGCCATGCTTGACTCTAGGTGTGTGTCTTTCTATTTGCTATCAGTCCTTATATGGCAGAGGCACAAACCCATGCTTCGAGTTTTTCTTCACTCCCTTAGTACTTACTAAGAACCCACCGACTGTGTATGTAAGGCTATGTTCCAACACTATAAATGTATTTCAGATTTGCCTACCCTGTTTTCTTTTTCTTTCTTTTTTTTTCTGGGTCACTTTTCGTCTTTATGGCTGAGTTTCATAAAAGACTAATAATAATCCACTTCATCTGTATAGTGCTTTACAGCTTACGGAGCACTTTTACAAAAATTATCCCATGTGATCCTCCCACATAAACCTCAGTTAGGACTAGTGTGGGAAGCGTCATGGATGAGTGGCAAGAGCCTAGGCCAGGAAGACAGACTGATAAGAGAAACATTCTGAGATGTCCTACATTTAATTACAAAGGGCCAGGGATGTAAGAAAAGAGAGATGGTAGGGGAGGTTAACCAGTAGCAAGCTATAGGCCCTAAAGAACAAAAGATGGTTTTTATGTTCTCAAATGTACTTTGAAAGCTTCACTCAAGTCTGTTCTGGCTGCCTAGGTGCCAGTGTGTCCTTCTTGCAGCCCTAACCACTCCAGAGGCCCTGTCAGCTTCCCTAGATGTTCTCCCATCACAAAGCCTTTGCTGCTTCAGGTAATCCTACCATTGTTACCAGTAGCCAATGTAGATTCAATGTAAATAATATGTATGCAGCAATGTTTGCACTGTATAGTACTCGAGCTTTTTAGAGCTAGGGAATTAGCCATCTACCCCGGCAGTGGTTGTTGTAGAATTTGTCCCAGCACCTAGTCATTTATTTTCCTGGCTAGCATCTGTAATGGCCCAATAAACCCTTTTATTTCAGAGAGTTCTTATAAGGCCTTAGGCATTTTGGTTTAATAAGATAGAGCCTGGTGCCCCCATTTTACAGATGAACAAGATGCACCCTCACTTGGGGGCTTAAATAAATTGTTCACGGTCAGCAAATTCATTAATGAGTCAACAAATCTTTGCAATTTTGTGAACTGTTGTTGAAAATAGCGTGCTATATACACATGTAAACCGTGTTCAGATCAGAAAGCCGGAATCTCAAACCCAGTCATATTTGATTCCCCCAAAGAAAGAAAGGATGAGAAAATCTCAGTTTTCTGTAAATGATAAGTTATGAAAATTCTAACTATATTAAATTGGTCCACAATTACTGCCCATGGGAATGAAGAATTTACAGGTCTAATAGTAAGACCTAGGATTCCTAGACCACGACATATATTCGCTTTGTTTTTTTTTCATATGATTCTCAGAATTATATTTTTCCGATTTTTTAAATCAGAAAACAGTTCCTACCCCACCCTTAGTCAAATGTTTATCATACTACACAGATATTACACATCATATTTTTATCTTTAAAGGTACTTTGTATATCTTACTCCATGAAAGGAATAACTGCAAAGTCTTCTACTTCTAGAGAATAGGAATTCATAACATAAAGAAGATTACCAGTTCTCACTTATCCAGCGTAGTATTTAGGTAGGTGATCTCAAGTTTTCTTTTCTTTTTTTTTTCTGTCTCTAAAACACAATCCCCTAATTGATTTTTTTCTGACATATTTTGTGTGTGTCTCTCAGACCACCAGTGCCATGGTCCTTAAACATTATTATCTATAGAACTACCTGAGATGCTTTATATTTATATTTTAATTTCATTTCCTAGAGTTCCATTTCTGGAGTCCCTAACTCGGTATGTCTGAGGCGGTGTCTAGGGATCACTTTTAGAATCACACTTTCTACCTCAAGTGATTCCTAATATTCTTTGGGAAATTTGCTACTGGAATGTAAGCTCTTTGAAGGAAAAGGGTTTCCTTTGTATCCCCAAAGGTCATGAATAGCCTTTGTCCACCAGTTGTCATAGTATTTGTTAGCTAAAGTCACCAATGTAGGGGCAAGAGCTTAGTCAGGTTTTATGTATGTGTGTATGTATGTATGTATGCTCTTCCTGCCTCTGACATTTGGGTTTTTTCCTAAGACAAATTTGCCACTTGATTATTCTAGAAAACATTTAAGAT